TAATGTAGTGATGTTTCTAACATTATATACTGCACTAATGAGTAATATATGACTAATATATATTGTAGCACTAATGACCTGCCTGCAAAATGGCCACTGCTGTAAGCAGACTCCTAGAAACATAGAGGAGTAACAAGAAAACAAAATCAGAGTCTCATAGCTACAGAAACAGATATGAAACTGAATCTAGAGGGAACTTTTTTTATGAAGCGAGTACAACACAGCACTTTACAAGTCCACAGACAAATCTACAAACAAGCAAAGGATCTAAGGAGCTTCCACGCTAATGGAGAAACATGCAAGATCAGATTAAACAAAAATGGGAGCAGATAGTGATGGACTGGCCGCACGGATGAGCTAAAGAAGTGCATTTTAAAGTGGGGATTTGAAGAAAGAAAGGCAGGACACTTGGCTTTTGGGAAGACAGAGCATAGCGAGCGTGAAGCTGAGAGCAGAAGAGGGAGACATGGCAGTTAAGTCAGAGAATGCAAAGGGGAAAACAGGAGGCAATAAGAGCAGAAAAGCAGCATTGTGCAAAGTCTTCAGGCCAAGGGGCTTTAATTTGATATGGAAAAGGAAGAAACCAGTGAAGAGATTCATGAGCATTAGGAAAGGAAGATAAATGTAGCATCAGCAATCTTGATAACAATAGAAGGGGAAGTGGCAAGGGGACATTTTTTAGGAAGATCACATATAGGCAGAAACATAGGTCTTAATATAGTCAGTCACTAATGAAATGGGTCAGTTATACATCCATCGATCCTAAATAATTTAAGTCTTTCTAGGATTGGCTTGCTGGGGAGCCTCAGGTTTTCCCCCTTACAATTCTGCTGACATTTTCATGTATCCATGTCCCCTACACCATCCAATTTCAAAAATTCATTATGTACTTCAGGGCTGCATGTTTAGATGGTGGCATCCAACACCTACTTTATTGACTGGCTCATTTTTTAACCCTATCATGAAGCAATTTGGACTCTCCTATTGGTGAGGAAGATGCTGCCATACCTTTTGAGAAAATAAAGAAAGAGTTCATTACAAGAGCAGCAACTTAAAAAACTTAACGCAAAGGTCTGGAGCTACTTTGGCTCCTAGTGATGTATTAAAAGAGCACCTTGAATGGAAAATCCTCCATGGTTTTGGAAAAGGCTGTTTTACAACTTCTACTATTGATTTATTTAATAGACAAGCTTGTGCCTCTAGAAGGGCATCTAGAATAATAATAAAATAATAATAAATAATAATTCCCTCATCTTTAAACAAATATATTGTCTGTTCAGAGTGCAGGATCAGAGAGTGCCATTAAAAACAGAGAATTCGCTGTACATCATCCAGAGTGTGTGTGTCATTGCAGAAGGGTTTTGCTTTCATAGATGTTTATATTTTTTTAAGATTCTTATTTACCAGCTGGGGCAATAAAATAGTATTTTGTAATGCTGACTCTTTTCCCCAGAAACGCTTGTATCACTAATAGATATTAAATACTTTGAAGCAGATCACTTGATTTAAATAGAACATGCATTAATAAGCCCTTTTAATGCTTATTTTGTGGTTTGACAGTAAGCGTAATGGCTTACAGCGACAAGTTAAATTAATAACCCCTGACCAGTAATGTCTTATTTGCTCAAATAAAAGCTTCAATGCCAAAATTAACATTCTGGTTTCTGTTAGAGGCAGCGTATCATTCTGCAGTACAACTGAATCAGCAGAGTCTAGATACTATGGGCAAATCCTATCCCCTGACCAATACCCAGAGAGCCCAACAGGCCACAGAAGTGGGATACAGGGACCCTGAGCACTGCAGCCAATGAGCAGGGATCCATATGGACATCTTCCACCCTATTTATCTAGGAAAATATCTGGCTCCCATTTTCCACAGAAACATGCCACAAACCCCTGTGAGGCTGGGCAGTGCTATTTTACAGATGGGGAACTGAGTCACTTAGTGACTCACCCAAGGTCACACAGGAAGTTGGCAGTAGACCCTGGAATTCAACCCAGGTCCCCCGAGTGACAGTCCAGTGCCTTAATCACATGACCATCCTTTCATCTCTCTCTCTCTCCCCGAGATGACATTCTGGCCCCAATGAAGGTCATAGCAAACTCCCATTGACTACAGGGGAACCAGGATTTCACCCCTGCATTTTTAATGAATGAGATTCAAGCAAGCTGATCCACCAATCAACACCCTATGAGCTGATGTTACAAAGAGGCTCTGCTTCTACTCCTCTCCTCGGACAGAGAAAAAAACCTCATGGAAGTCATCTATGTACAACTCATTTATTTGGGATGTGTTGAGTGCTGGATGATAAAGAGAACATGATGATGCATAACCAGAATAATCACACCCAGGCAATGTAAAGGTATAGGTTTGCCTCAAACAAAAAACAGCTTGAAAAAACAGATCTGTTCAGAGAAACATATTTTCTACCCACCCCTTGCAAAGCTTGCGGGAGGAATTCAGGGTAGGGGAGATATGGCATTGTGAAGAATAACCTTTCTGTGCTCCAAACTGAACACATCCTGAAATGCAACAATGCCATTTCATAATGAAGAGATGGTAAAGAGAACAGATCTGTTGAAAGAGCGCATTTTCTATGAACCAAGCCAAATAAAGAGACACACAATGAAGCCTTGTTCAGTGAATATTCTCACAACATGCTAGAAGGTGAAATAATAATCAAAAAATCAGCTTGTTAAAGGAATAGATCAGTTAAATTCCCCGGGGGCTCAACCAGCCAAAGATTTCATAACACAATGGGGCCCCATTGCATCGGCACCTGTTAAAGGAACAACAGACCTGTTTAGAAAAAGGCCATTTCTGTGCAGTGAAGTTATGCACGGAAATGTGCCTCATTCAGCTCTTCATTTGTTGGATCAGGTCTCGTGGATTACAGTCAAGATTTTGTTTTCATTTTTTTCCTGCCAGTTTGGTGCTCAGGAGAGGTGACAGATTGACAGCCCAAGAGGATAAAGTCTTATCTTCTAGCTACAGAGCTGAGACAGCACAAGCATGATGAGTGCAAGGTCCTATCACCCACTGCTTCCTTGTTCACGTCTCCATCCTGATCTGGAAGGACCCCTGCCACCTGTAAGTGAGCAGTTCAGTGTCCACATCCATTGCAGCCACTGACTCTTGGGAACAAAACAGCACCAGCCGTGAGGGGTTTTGCAAATATCTATTCGCTGAGATTCTTCAGCCACCAGAACAATTAGCAACTCTGAGTCACCAAATAGCCATACTTGAAATGAATTAGCAACTTAGAGGTGAAAGTCTCTCTCCCCGATTCCTATTCCCGGCACAATTAGTAGCTTGTTCTTGAAGTATAACTCCATCAGCTACGATGTGTTACCACATCTATCTAGAACAATCCCATGGGGTTTGGCTGGATGCTGCCTCAAGCCTTGTTGAGATTTGCAACAAGGTCACCAGACTTTTTGGTGGTAGAGGAGGCAGACAGTGTCATTTAAAAAAAAAAAATCAAATGTATGAGATAAAATGTGTGTCTCTAAAAGGCCAGATCCTTGACTCGTGTAGCTCCATTGCCTTCAACTGTACTATTCCAATTTACCACTCCACTTTTCAAAAACAGATGCTCCATGGAAATCTTTAAAGGAACCCAGGAAGTGCCATGGCAAATCAGATCAGACGTCTATCTATGGCCAGTACCAGACAAGTCAGAACATGGCAGAAAACCCCCATAATGGACAATTATGGAATAATCTGCCCCAAGTGGAAAATTCCATTTTCAGTTGGGTTATTTTCATGTTTTTTCTTTATATAGGAGTCCAAGACCCAAATTTCCAATTTGGATCCAAACTTCTCCATCATTAGGATCCTGGAATTTAACAAAATATAGGAGATCTACACAATTTAGTTCCAGAGTCAAACTCCCCAAAAGTCTGGATCTGGGATTTTGGTTCAGGCTCCATCTCAAGTCCTCTTACCCCATTCCTCCTATTAAACAGACATCAGCATAGAAACAGCTTCTTAAAAACTCCCCTACTCCTTGTTTCAACAACTAAAGTCAGAAGCTTCCTTTTTAGACAACAAGGCAACGAGTTGCTGTGAAAAGGGACTAGGACTTCAGCTGGGGAAGTTGCCAGTAGCAAGACAACTCCGATGAAAGTATCTTTGCTAACGGTTTTAAGGAAAAATACCCTTTGTTATAAAAGGATGAAGGAAGAGAAATGCACAATACATGATAAGCACAATGTTCTCACAAAAGAAAAGGGTGCAGAATTTTCCAAGCTCTTAAGGGAAAACATTTTCAGTGTGCATGTCAAATGAGATCACTGAGCGGTGCCCAAGTGAGAGCATTCCAATACTTTTATCACAAGTAGAAAGTTATGTCACATCCCTGCCCAGCTGTACTTTGTGGGTGTTCTATACATTTACATGCACAATTATAAGCAACTCAGCTTGATTTAAGAGGGTTTTTGAAAGTGACTCAGATGTGAAATTCACAAAGGAAAACAAATCGGGGTGCCAAAGCTGAAAGCACAAACAAGACAACTTGTAATCACCACAGACCCACCCAGGAACCAGCAAATTATCCCAGTTACTGTTTAGAAAATAAAAGCACTTCGGGAAGCAATATTCGAACACATTACAAATCTGTGTGGGAACACAGCTGTTGAGAAGACCGTTATTAGATACCATAGATGGAGACCCCAGACTTGGGAGCAGAGAACGAGGTTTCCCTGGAAGAGAACAGTTCAACCAGAACTAGGATCTCAAACCAGTTTGATTTCCATAGGGCCAAGGAGGTTCAGATCTGAATCTTCAGATTCACAATCACCCCTACAGCTCAGACCAGACCTAAACACAGAAAAGGGGATGTTTTCCCAGACCTAGCTCAGATACTCTCAAAAGTTCACCAGTGACAAATTCAAACTGGAGATCTGGTTCAGCCATCAGCCTCAAATGGAACCCCACCCTCAGCACATTGTGGATCAGAACACTTGAGTCATCCTCCAAGAATGAAGTGAATACGTACCATGTTCATAACTGTGAGGATGAACCTTTGGGCTGCCTCAGCACCATGGTATTGCACCATATCAGCATCAGCCACTACCAGGGTTTCTACTGTATACTCATTGGTGAGTCGGATGGCATTTCTTCGCTCTCTCCAGTCATTCGCTGGTTTCACCTTCTTTTGTCTCTTCTTTTCTAGAAAATAAAGTATATATTAAAGGCTCCTCTAGCTCTAGCAGGATGATCACAGTAACATATACTGTACTGTAGCCGAGACTTCCCTCCAAATTCAGCCTGCCATGACCTTTAATTAAATTAAGTTTCCATTATAGATACATGCATAACTGTGTGAGTGCATTCGTATCAAACCATGAAAATCTATAAAAAGAGAGAAGGGAAAAGAAGATGGATGTACTGTAAAAGAGTGTAAAAAGAAAAGCAGAAAGTAGAGAACAAGTTGCAGTTGAACCAGAAAAGGAATCACACTGTTGCAAGAACAACAGAAACTGAAAATCCTGCTACTAAACAAAAGCACCTGCACATTTTAATGGAACAAAACGATAGTCACGGAAAGTCTGCTGAGGAAAGGTCACGTAGGCCAGATTCAGAAAGGGGATAGTACTGTGGCAACATTAGACAAGTTTGAACGATGGAATGACTGCTGAACGACAATTTGGGGAATTTTCTCGGTCTTCTACCCTCTGAAGGTTTTGTTTTAGCCAAAGAACTTGTAAGAAATTCCTGTGGCTGGTACTACGATTGGTGCACTTTAAAAATGTGCACGACAGTAGATGTTATTTAGCCACTGGAGCAGTTTACCAAAAGATGGGAGAGATTCTCCATCACTTGGAGTCATTTTTTCTTTTAGAAAAAAACATGAGTTGCCGGGCTAGAAATCACTGGGTGAAATCTATGGCCTGAAAATATGCACGAGGCTAGGCTAGATGAGCATAATGGTCCCTTTTGGCCTAAAATTCTATGGACCTACAAAAACCAGAACCGTTTTTAGGGAGTCCAGAAATGAAGCAATTGTCAGCTACTATATAAGGAAAAATAAATACTAGATGGTGTGAATTTAATCACTTCAGTGAGGAAATTAAAGCAAAGGCCAAGTGACAAATACATTAATAAAACTGCCCCTTTCAAAGGTGAGAAAATGGAATACATTTCACAGCTCAGAGAGAGATGTGTAAAGCATCTGACGAATGAGTAAGGGACAAGCTAGGCACAGATGTGACATTAAAGCTATGCTCCTCGTTACAGTCATAAAGTGGATTCAAGTTTTCAGTTGTAAAATGAAAAAAGCAAATCAGTATCCAGAACCAATTTATTCTGCAATACGTAAGATACCAAATCCCTGTATTCACTGAAAGTATTAGCTCTTGTGCTTATCACTAAGGGTGAAAAATATCATAGTAAAGATTCTGGAACCCTTGCTTATGTGAGTACTTCCATTGAAATCATGGCACTACTTGTGGAATATGGGCACAATCCATGGAGTAAAGTTCCCCCATCAGGGTGGAAGAATCTGCCCCGCGTTCCCATATAAAGCGATGATATAGTATAGGTCCTATCTGACAACAAAAAGAAAAGGAGGACTTGTGGCACCTTAGAGACTAACCAATTTATTTGAGCATGAGCTTTCGTGAGCTACAGCTCCGATGAAGTGAGCTGTAGCTCACGAAAGCTCATGCTCAAATAAATTGGTTAGTCTCTAAGGTGCCACAAGTCCTCCTTTTCTTTTTGCGAATACAGACTAACACGGCTGGTACTCTGAAACTCTGACAACAAAGTGGACCTAATTTTATTTCATGCTCCAAATAAATCAAAGAGCAAGGGCATTCTAAAAACACACTCTCTTACTTTCCAAAGCAGAAAGTTTTACTGTTTAGTTGTTGAGAGAAACAGATTTCTTCTGAGCACCTTCTATTGTGGGGCTTGCCTGGGAAACAAACGTTTTGCAATGTGAAGATCCCGGTTTACAGTGTTTATTCTATTATGCTGGTTTTCCAGACTCTGTTTACTAGCTCTCTTACATAACTCAGCTTGAGTTGCCCTACATTACCAGTCTGGTAAATATGCTAGCATCCAGACTGTCCGTTTCCCCTCAATGAATCTGTTTTATTCAGGGGGCCAGAAGCCAATGGTTGTTAAGCTTCCTCATGCCCACCTGAAACTGACACCAGTACTTCTGTTCATTCATACGTTCATTCCATCTCGTCAATGCACACATGTTCATCCCAGCCTCGCTCACAGTTGTCTGGCAGTCATTCCAGCACTGCTCTGCGCAGGCTTTTGTCCCTTAGGCATCAACTGTCAGCACTTGGTGCATTTTTTTAAACTGAGAAAACAGCCATGATGTTCCTTTTTTTTTTTTTTTAAAACGCATTTTGGAAATACCCTGTTGCAGATAACAAGATAGACAGGAGCCTCTGTGTAAGCCAGAAGGGTTAATTATGTCTCAAGGTGCCCACAAATAATGAGGATCTACACGCTGCTACAGGAGAGGAAAACAAGGAGGAAAACAAGCCCGTCCAGAGGTTTGTAGTACCAAAGACTGCATGGCAGTTACAGAAAACCATGTAGTCATGACAAAGCTGCCCGCAGAGGAGGAGAGCTGTACATTCTTGAGTGCCTGTGAAACGAAATAAAATGGACTGACTGTGAATATTAGAAAGTAGGAGAGCTGAGCACCCCTTCAACTTGCCAGCAATGAAAGGGAGATGACTCCACTCAACTTCAGTGAATAAACTTGTGTGTTCTCTCTGTCCATCCACAGAGTCACTCGCCCTGAGCTGCAGCACCTTAATGGTGATCACATAAATATGTACGCTGGGCTGCAGGAGATTCATTCCATTGAAAACATTTCCATGTGATAGCTGGCGTTTCTGAACCTCCTCCTGGTGAGTGGCATCTTACTGGAAAGTGACAGCATTTCAATAGAACTGAAGTCCTTGTAATTCCCTAATGAACTCAGGGACAGATCTTCCCTGTCTCAGGCTGTGTGAGGCTGACGGACACCAGCTAAAAATCTGGCCCTAAGCCTTTATGATATTTATATCAATGATATAAATGATACCTTATATCATTTTTCATTTCCCCCTTCTCAAATTAAAAACACTCATTTTGAAGTGTGTTATGAATATAATCACACAGCAGTGTGGGCCAGTGTCAAATGCAAGAACGTTTTTACAGTTGCCATAAAATGCAGCAGAAGCCAACACAGACTGCAGGAAGGATATGCAGTGCATTGGATTAGATTCATGCATTTTAAAGCCAAAAGAAATCATGATCACCTAGTCTGGTGGCCTGCATAGCACAGGGCCAGAGATCCTCACCCAGTAATTTCTGCATCAGGCATTAAGTGAACAGAAGGTTTCTGCAATAAAACTGGATTTAATACAACACTTGGAAATTCCTTCATGCTGATGCAATGAGCCAGTTATAAGCAACTTTGTGTTTCAGGGAATCACGTAAGGTAAGAAAGATCTTTCTGGAGGTCTATGGAATTAAAAAACTTCCCAAACACAGAGCTGAGAAAATGAGGGGCTCATGTTTCACACAGTGCAAGACAGGGCATAGGAGATAAAGAATGAAATCCAGATCATCTATGTACACCTGGAAGCTACCTGTCTGGACAGCAGACACCTTTCAGCACAAATACAGTATGTGCATGGGGAATGCCTGACATTTAAAAAAGCACCACAGCTAATTGAAAAGGATTTGGGTAATGTCCACCAGCTTTCTTCTGCCCTGCCTTTGGAAAGAGTCAAACCTTTCTCTTGCCATTATAGATTGTCTCTACATCAATGTTTCCCCCTGAATCAGCAAGCCAATAGTAAAAGTTCGTTGCTTCATAGAGTAAGCTAAGAACTAATCTCCTCCCACTGCACTCCCTAAGCAAGTACACTTTTATATTACAGAGACAGAGAAAAGCCTCTTGGTGAAAGTACATCTCCAGAGTCACCTAGCTGGCACAGAGGGCACAATTCCTTGTACCAGCCTTGACACTATGCTGAGGTGGGGATTTGGAAGAGAGTCTCTCTGTTGCCCTTCCTCAAGGTTTCTGCTGTGGAGAAGCAGTTTCAAGTTGCACCAGCGGAGGCTGCTGAAGAGATGCTGAAACAGCACACGTGCTGGCCATGCCCCTTTCCAGCCAGTACCACCCACTTTTCCTGTCACACTGGTCTCCTGTGCTCTTTTCCCCGTACACGTCTTGCAGATCTGAGCCAGAAATGACAAAATATTGTCTAGCAGCCAGGTAGGGAAAATGCAGAGCTGGCAGCCCTCTTGGGTCCCAAAGATTTTCAGACTACCCACTACAGCTGGTGGGAAGAAATCGGACAGCCTGGCTATGCAGGGCAATCCTCAGCATCCCCAGACAAGCGGAACAAATCTTGCGTGCAGAGAGCTGGCACTCATCCCAGCTGGCATTCTGAGGCCCTTCGCATCCAATGCCCACTTGTTCTTTGCTGGTGACACAACTATGATGCGGCTTTTGTGGAATTTTTAAAATGTTCCTTCAAGAGCTTTCCGACACACTTTGCTATTACTAAAGCCCTTCCTTTTTTAGGTGGTCATTCTTGCCTCTTAACCCAAAGCGACTGCTATTAAATAGGGGCGGGACTGGACTTGAGTCAAGAAGTCTGAACGTGGCAATGACTGAGCTGTGAAAAATGCCTAAGCGAAAGGACAATGAAGTCAGAGCACTCACGGTGTTCACTCAGCTTTCTCACTCTTGGTGGAAAGAAGCCACTCCTGGGTCAAGGGGAAAGGACGCCCACTGCATTAGAGCACAACCTGGGCTCTGGGGAGCGAGGCTGGTGTCCAGGGTGCATGCTACAGTCACCTGAGAGTCACCTGCTCTGCTGCCCATCTGTCCTTCAGCGGTAGGTTTATAAACTGGCTAGGGTTTGTAGATCCCACTTGCCGCATTCTTGTACAAGGTTGTGAAACTGCAGCTGTGCAAAAATTTGACCAATGTGTTTCCGGGGGGTGGGGGTGGGCAGTCCTGCAAACCTTTGGGAAGTCTCGATTTGCACAGAATCGACACTCCTCTCCCGGAAGTTCACTTGGGTTGGCCAAATTTAACAAGGTTTCCATCCACAACCTCAAATCCCTCATCACCTCTCCCTCCGCTCACCTTGAAACTCAGCTGACCTCACATAAGTTTGGGAATCTGGGATCTTAAGCTC